TTTAATTGACCGTTGAGATCACTTTTAATTAGTCTTGGTTTCTGACACTCAATCGAAAAAGCGTTTCATTCCAGAATGTCCAATAGAACTCAAATAAAAATTAGAAATAGTATTTTTACAAATTAAACTACATTGACGTGCCTCAGGGCGGTTTCGATTGCATGTAAGGAATCACTCTGCTTATTTCCCATAGAGTCACGTGGATCTGCGCGGTATGAAAAGATTGACAATATTCAGCCGAGAGGTGATCTTTACGAAAGACAGTCGATTGGACCTCAGAGCTCCCGACTTAGAGCAAAATTTAAATATTCTGTCTCCAGGTTCCGATGGAGATGATGGGAAGCATGGAGTTCATGGTCCAGCAGGTGAGTTAAGGGCTGCCGTAAATTTAAGGCCATGATCTTCTGTCCTTTTTTTGTCTGTTGCTTGTGTGGGTCAGGACCAAATGTCATTTGTGTGGGGGTCGAGAGGTACCAAATCCCCGTGGTTTACTCCCTCGAAATAGGCTGATAGAGATGTGCTACTGGATGGGATCGCTTTTTCAAGACTGGGTTGACTGTTATGGGGTTACGTTTTCAACAAAGTCATTAGAATGGGGTCGCAAATTGTCGCGATTTTGGATTATGCAACGCAATATTTTCACTATATCTCTTTTTTTTTAATTCGACTTTGACAGTCACAGTCTACGCCGAAATTATTGCTGGCTATGTAGATATTGTAACAAATGGCGGAAATGGAAAACCGGGGCAAAATGGCGCGAATGGAAGAAAGGCAGCCGACAGCATGCACAAGGTACATTATTCAATAATTGACGTGCGTAATATAAGAAAACTAAGGGAAAAGTCATTATTTATCGCCTGCAGGGAACGGGGGGGAGGGGATGGTGGATGATTTCGGGAACGAAGAGGGGTAATAAGGTGGGCTATAGAAAATCTACTACAAATTAACTGCCAATCGGAGTGGGGGGGAGGGGGGAGGAGGGATAAGAATAGAAAGAATCAGGTGAATGTTATCGAGACACAATCGAACCCCTACAGCCCCCCCTCCCCCACCCAGGTGATGAATAACGACACTTCCACTGTTTATGATGATATGTCAGACTATTAAGCTTTCATTACAAAAAAGGAAATGTTGTAAACTGAAACAAATTGTTAAATTTGAAGATCACTATTGATAATTTAACGGGTTTTTACTCTAACAGTGGAGGTTTTGTGTCAACAAACAATAATTACTATTTCTAACTTTACTATTCAAACAGCAACCGGACAGGACAGACTCTAACTGCAAAGCAGGCAAAACAAGGACTGGCTGCACTAGACACTTTGCAGGGATACGAGGTATATCAGGTGGAAATGGAGCAAATGGCGGAGATGGTGGGAGATCAGGTAAAACTGAAACTTGATAAAGTAAATTAATTTTTTTTTCTTGAGATTAACCGAACTGTCCAAAATTGTCAATAACGCTACTAGCGTTATTGACAATTTTTGGGCAGTTAAGAATAGTTCCTTTCCCGACGCCGCAACCTCGCGCGGTTGGGAGAAGCTTCTCAAGAAAACGTGGTGCTGCGTCAATTTGGGATTAACAAGATAATTTAGTGTTATCAACTGAGTTGATGATGGAAATTGGCCACCGTAAAGAATTTCTAAAGCTGACGTTTCGAACGTTCGTCCTTTTTCAGAGGGAATTATGAACAGCTAACGCTTGAAACTTTAGCTTTAGAAATTCTTTACGGTGGCCAATTTCCATTTTCAACTTAGTCGATACAAAGAGAATAATACATGACGCGCGTGGAGATAAAGTTTCTCTTCGAGTATTCAACTCGATAGCTCACGAGTGAGCGCAGAAAACGAGTGAGATGTCGAATTGAACACGAGAAGAAAAATTCTATATCTACAAGTAATCGTGTATTATTTTGCTGATCATATAAACACAATAGCCCTTTACTGACTAGAAAAGTCAGCTTTATACTAATGAATGAAAAGGAAAGGATCGATAATTCCAGGAAAAAAATCGTTAATCGCGTTGCCGCTAAGGCGCAAAAGGAGAAAATGTGTTAAAACACTTCAAAAACAAACAATGGATGTAATTTTCAATACACTAAATTCTCATTAATTGACTAGGTCCTTACCGACAGAAGAAATCTTTCGAGTTAACGGCCAAAATCGGTGTGTGGCAAATCTTCCAGTTGTCGACTTTCCTTCTCAGCCGCGAGAAACGCCATTACCAAGGCCACTGAGAACGTAACTTTTGATTTTTCTTCCCGTATTTTGGTTTTCTTCCCCTACGGATTTTTTCATTCATCAACCTGACTGAGTGGCGCGAAAGGCGGGTGACGTGTCAGCGGCTGATTGGGCATGTCAAATACACAAGAAAAAAACACGATATTTTTTCACGTGTATTGTTAAGGCTTTTCTTAGGGCTGGAAATCGTTGTATAACACCCTAGTTTATATGATAAAACCAAATTATCCGCATAAAAAAATTGGTTCAGCGTACGTTTGATGAGATGTGGTGAACATACCGAAGGTTTGGAGAGAACGAAAGATGCGTAACAGTTGGCTGCTCTTCGAGCAATTGATTCCAGCCTCTTAGGCACTCTCCAATCTTCTCAAGTGCTTCATATCTAGATTGAAAAACAGCTGATGCATGAACTAATTGTTTCATTGTATTTTCCATGCAGTAGCGAAATATGTCTGATATGGTAATTCCCCTGCCATGCACACGCACGTTTTTTACTGTACCCCGCGCACAATGGAAACCTGTGGCACTCGCGCTAGCGCTGTTGACTTTGATTACTTGTACACCAACTGACTGTGTTGTAAACAGTAGTAATCATCATTTAAATGCACTGCGTTTACTTATGTCCCTCACTTATGTATTTATTTATTTATTAAACTTAACAACAGGAAATGGCGGTGATGCAGGCCGTCAAACTCTTCATGTTCTGAAAGTGAGAGGGAAAATCGAATTAACATCTTGTCGCGGGACTGGAGGGCAGGCGGCATTAAACGGATTAGGAGGAGCCGGTGAGGACTCACAAATTCTTCATTAATAAAATTTTGCACAAGGGTACAATTATCTGCCAATTTTTTTTCTTTTTCTCCTATCACTATGATAGAATAAATATCATTGGTCGGACGAAACACCACAAATGAACGTATATTCAGATTCTCTGGAAGGCAGTGAAACACTTTGCTACCAATACTTCATCGGATCAGCAAGAAGCTCGGCTCACGATATGAATTATTTAA